GTTATTGTTAACTGCTAAATGGCAGCTGGACATGACGCAGATGGTATAAAGGGGTGGATTATGTCTTGGTTCAGCTAGGGTAGGGTTAGGTTTTCCCCAGCAGAGAGGGGGAAGGGATCTCCAGCTGGTTTATTCATACCATGATGACATCTGGTGCGGCACCGCGGGAACTTTTTCCTTTGTGGCTTTGGTGACGGGGAGCATCGCGAGCGAGCTGTCTGTAACCACTGCGGTATTTCTCTGTATAACTTTTGTCTTGTTTACTGTTATTGCTCTTTATTGTTGTTATCACTGCTACTGTTGTTGTTCAGATTGTTTATCACACTGTTGTATTAAATTTCTTCTTATTTTAACCCGGGGTTTGTGCCTCACTTCCAGCCCAACCAGCTGAGGGTGAGGGAGGGGCAACGGCAATGTGGTCTCTGGTCTCAGCAGGGCCTAAACAAACACAGTTACCAATACCAACATTCTATAGAATTATGTCCCGTAAGTAAATCGATGAGATTCAAAGAGAAAGGAAAACCACAAAACCACAAACAACTAAAACCCACCTTCAACCACTGTTTACTTAAATCCATCCATCTGAAATCTGTCTTCAGCAACCCCACCTTCTGCTGTTCACTGTTACCTCTTACCATATATCTGCCCACATAATGTGATATATCAGTAAATCTAGAGTATTTACTACAAAAATGCAGCTTTCCAGTACTGAGTTTCATGTTATAGTTAGCTGATATTCTTCAGGGCCTACGTGCATATATACGAATTATTGCTGACAAAAATATCTCTCTCTAGTGAAATATTGTACGTTACACAGATAAGATCCTCCACATTTGCAAGAAAAAAACAAAGTTTGAAGAAAATAATTTTATAAATTTTTATCTGTTCTAGGGATAATATTTGAATATCCCACCAATATTTCCTCTGCAGCAGTTTCACGTTTTGATCTGATTTTGTATGTCAATGCAGAAAGGTTCAGGTACAGTAATAGGCACATAACTTTTCATGCATATACAAAAAGTCCCTCAGAACTACATTCAAAATTATGTTAAAAGTTTCACTCTCCTTTAATCATTACATTTTATTATCCTAACATTCTAACAAGAGTCATGAAGCACTTTGCCAAATAAAATATAATAGAAATCCTTCTGGGCAAAGTTTTTCTATTTAATGGCTTGCAACACATAATTCATCCGAGAAAAAGCTACAAGGTAAGAAAATGACAGACTAAACCATCACAGTTTCCATTCACATCGCCATATTGCTTATTGTTACCACTGTTGTGTGACTCCAGCAACACACTCCCTCATAAATATCAGGCCCTCAGAGACACCCCACTTAGTAAAAGAATTATCCCCAAACAAACACAGGCAAATAACAGTGCCTGAAGGTCAGCTGATCGATGGGACGAGTGTTAAAGCCCAGATCTGCGCATATCATCTTCCCCATACCCCTAAGATACAGAGTTCAGCCTATGCCACAAGCATCACGACAAAATATTGGCCTGGGGTAATATTCATGTGCATCCCTCTATGGATAATAGCTGTTCCTAGAAAGCTAATAGGCATATTCTCCCCATCAGAAAGCCTCCAAGCTATCTCACCAACATAGGGACTCTCAGTACTTCACTGGAATTCATGTTCATCTATGCGGCTACAGGTGCCTGGGTACATCTATGACAGGCAGACACGCACGCCCAGCTGTACACATGTCACAATGCATAGAACTGCAGGAGGAGAAGAAAAGCAGAGAAACTGGAGAGAGAGATTTTAAAACTTTCTTAAATCAATATACTGGAAAAGGATGCAAGTTTCTGGGTACACTGTAACCCAATCTAAATCCAGACTGCTGTCTTCATCCCACCTCTCCCCTTCCACAGCTGTGTCCATGGCTCTGCTTCTCCCCTGCACCCCTGGCAGCGTTCAGGAACCTGCACATACTCCAACAGTCAGGAAACAGATCTAGCTCAGCACCAATTCAGCACAGATCCTGAGAAAAAGGAGAAAAAGCACCTCAGCCTGCCTTAGACCAGTTTAATTGCCACAGAACTACTCTATGAAAACACAGTTTCAGTAAGCAAGAAGGATCTGATCTGTATAAGGTACAGGATTTACCTTGGCAATACTGAAAGCAACCATCACCTCCTCACAGTATTGTAATAATCACACAAAGCCAATTTTTATGAGAATATATAGTTTTATTTGGGTTCAATCGATTTAGGGTGAGAAACAATAGGCAAAGCAGCTGGGTGCATGGAGAGCCGCAGCTCTGCCACACGCACCCCGAGTTCCAAAAAGCAGCGGTTTTTTATACTTTTGTGCCATCACCTTTAACCAATCTCCTCCCATCAGATAGTTGTCCTGCTCTTTTCCATTGGGTCATTTGGGTTGCTGGGGTGCATGTCCTCCTCCTACTGGGTCTTTTGAAAGTCTCGAAGCCTTGGTCTCCTGGCGCGCTTTTCTCCTATTGGATCTTTTAAAAGCCTCATGATCTCATCCTTTTGGCGGGCTTTTCTTCAAACAGCAGTTACATGTCAGCTCTAGGTGGGGGTTCTGAGACACGGTTACATTGTTCCAACCGAATGGCACACTTTACATTTAATTGTTTAACTTTTACAGATCATACAAGTGTATCGTACCCGCCTTGCCCAACCTAGCAAATCAGTTACAATAGTTTATTACAGCACCCGCCTTGCTTAACTTATCAAATTAGTTAAAATGGTTTATTACAGTATTTTTTCTCTTCTTCCCCTGAGTCAGTATTTCTGACCACAGAGCTACATGACTAGACACTTAAACTGACTTATCAAGCCAAAAATTGACACAGCAAAGACTTAAATTTAAAAGATTAGCCTAAATTCCCAGAAATTGTGCGCTGAGCAGAAAGCACGTTAGACCACTCTGAATAGACAAAAAGAGTTGCTAAGGGGGAAAAAATAGTGTTACTGATTTTATTATCAATTGAAATTAAATTGTGTTTGATTTTAATATATAGAATTAAGGGATGTTTTAGTAAAAATAATTTTACATTTATTGTATTTTGAATCTAGCAACTGACTGCTACTCTAAAATCCTCTGTACAGCCCCTTACCAAGGCTGAAGGAACTGGTCATAAGTGTTTAGTAGGAACGGTTAGAACCGAGGTAACAAAACATGAGGTGATTTGTAAACTGATTTATAATACTAGAAGAGTGCAAGTAGTTGTCAAGGTCCAGGATTAATGGGAACTGAGGGGAGTAACCGTAACAGCTTGCAGGTACCTGCCAAGAAAACTGTGTCCTTAAGCAAAAGGTAATTCCGGCAGGGGGAGATCACGACCACCGACTCATGGACCACCTACTCACATTACACCCCAGAGCCATTTCTAGACATTTCTAACCTCTGCTGCGCAGAATCGGAAATAGGAGGAGAATATGTTAATGATTTCTTGGAAGTTGTATGCTTATGTATGAAGACTTAATGAATATGTATGAGTAAGTTCTATATGAGGTGTATGATTCTGGTGCCTGGCACGTGTTGTTGGTGAGAGTACTCCCTACACGTCCGGCCGTCAATAAAGGAGTGTCTGCTTATCTGCATCAAATTGGTGTCGATAAGTTATTTTTATCCCGGATTTCGGTGACAGTTTCTGGCACCCCAGATGGGACATTGCTGAGAGAGACTGGAGGAGTCGGGGACCTGATCGGTTCCAGCTGGCACTGAGGATTTCTCGGGGACACCCATCGATCTCTGATCCATAAGGCTCTTCATGACGTCCCCTGGATTTTGGTAAGGCACTTCTCTTTGGTATTGGAAAAGTGGGTTAAAGTCTCACCTGTGAAAATTGGTTTGGTATTGGAAAGTGTGTTAAAGTCCCACCCCTGAAACTTGGATTGGAAAATTGTTTTGGTATTGGGAAAGTGGGTTAGAGTCCCACTGTATAAGCCTGCCTGTCAGATGTGGCAAAAGCTGCACAGGGTTGGGCTAGAGGATCCTCGTGTATTGGAAGCCTAGGCGTCCGCCCATAAGACATAAGCGAAAGCTATTGCAGGGTTGGACAGTTGGTTTTGGAAACAAGAGAACCTATATGCTATAAAGTTCTCAAAGGTAGTGCCTCTAACAAAAAGTTAGAAGTTTTATGCACTCAATTGTGGTATTGGTTGTTTTGTCGATTGAATATTGTATAGTAATTAAGAACTGTGTTGTATTGTGTTATATAACTTTGTTTGTAATAGTAATTGTAGAAAGGTGTGAGTGTGTTTGTAAATGTGAGACGTGCAATTGAGCATGAAGTGAGTGTGGAGTTCAGATCCGGTTCTGTTATCCCATGAGGGGTGCAGCCAGAGAAGGACGAAGCGATAGACTTGAGCGAGTGATTGATTGTATATTGTGTTAACAAAGTAACTGTACTATGGCATCTAAGCTGACTCATTTGTTTAAAAGGAAAAGCATGGGTAATTTTGCTGCAAATGACAAAGTTCCAAAAACCTCTCCATTAGGATGTTTGTTAGCACATTGGGGAGATTTGCAGGATGATTTGCGGAAGAGTCAGATGATCAAATATTGTAATCATTGGTGGCCTCTGTATACTTTGGATGATCAGGAAAAATGGCCCATGAATGGGACATTAAATTCTAATACCATTTTTCAGTTAATGCTGTTTTGCAGAAGGGAAGGAAAATGGAGTGAGGTGCCATATGTTGATTTATTCTTTTATTTAAGGCAAAGGAAGGATTGGCAAAAGGAATGTAAATTAATCAGTAGAGATAATCTAGTGATGGCTATGACTACGGACAGTAGAATGGTGAAAAAGTGTTGTTCAACATGTGAGCTTGGAAAACATTGTTTAAAGAAAAGAATTACTTCTGTTGAAAAGGATGAAGGGTCTGAATTAGACATATCCCCTCTGCAGAGAGAACGGCATCGAAGGCGAGAATATAGAGAGCAGGTAGAGGAACCTGAGAGTAGTGGAATAGAGGATGTGGAGGAAGGGCCGTCTGAGGTTGTAATTCATACCTGTTTCTCACAGAACTCGGCAGCAGGTACAAACAATAGCTCCCTTGCGGCAAGGAGTTGGCAATGATGGGCCGGTGTATGTGAAAGTGCCTTTTTCCGTGACGGATTTGATGGCTTGGAAGCAGGCAGCAGGAGTGTACAGAGAGGATCCTGAGAGAGTAAGCAGAGTAGTAGATACTATAATCAGAACACAGAATCCAGATTGGAGTGATTTACAGGTAATTCTAGATAATTTGTTGGATGATACAGAAAAGCAGATGGTACTAAAAGCTGGCAAAGCACAAGCAGAAGTGGCTGTATTAAGTGAAACAACCGGTGGAACAATAGAGCAGAATTTTCCATCTGGGGATCTGCAATGGGATCCAAATAATGTGGAACACAGAGAAAGATTGAATCGGTATCAGAAATGGATTTTATATGGAGTTAGACATGCCATGCCTAAATCGCTGAATTGGTCTAAGTTATATGAGGTGAGACAAGATAAGAATGAATCTCCCTCAGCGTTTCTGGAGAGGCTGAAAGAAGCTGCCAGAAAATACACTGATTTCAGAGTAGAAACAGAGGCGGCTCAGATACAATTGGCTTTGATTTTTATGGGACTGTCGGCACAAGATATAAGAAAGAAACTCTATAAACTTGAAGGAGAGGATTCGAGAAGTCTGAATAAAATGTTAGAAGCAGAATGGAAAGTATATAACAACAGGGAAAAGGAGGAAAGGAAGAGCAGAGAAAACAGATCGTTGGCTGCAATGACAGGGACAGCAGGCAGAGGAAGAGGCAGAGGAAGAGTACGAGGAATAGTTGGAAGGGGAGGATTTATGAACTATGGTAGTCAAAATTTTAATACCCCCTTAGGAGTAAATCAGTGCACTTATTGTAAATAAGAAGGACATTGGAAGAAGGATTGTCCTAGAAATAGAAATGCTCAGCAAGAAATAGCCAAATTGATGGTTTTAGATGATTGAAGGGGACCGGAGGGGAACCCAGCTGAGCCTCTGGTTGTAATTAAGCTGGGAGAAAAGGAAGTTAAATTTTTGGTAGATACAGGAGCGACATTTTCAGTATTGAATACTTGTAAAGGAAAAATTGGAATAAAACCAGCAAACATAATAGGAGCAACAGGGAATGAGGAAAATAGGCCATTCCTGCAACCTCTGGATTTAAAATTTGGAAACAAAACAATTACACATGAATTTTTGTATGTATCAGAATGTCCAATACCCTTGTTAGGAAGAGATTTGTTATCTAAACTAAACACACAAATTGTTTTTGAGAAGGGGGAACTCTTCTTGAAAATACCTGAGTTGAAAACAGGAGAAATCCTGATGACACAAGAAAAAGTGAAAGAACAAGAAATTCCACCAGAGGTGGATTCTGCAGTGATTCCTACAGTATGTGAGACAGACATTCCTGGCAAATCAAAATTGGCAGAGCCTGTAAAAATAGATTTAAAGGAAGGTGTGGGGACAGTAAAAATTAAACAATATCCAATTAAACCAGAAGTTAGACAGGAATTGAAGAAACTAATTGATACATTTCTGAAGTACAAAATTTTAGAGGAATGTGAATCTGAATATAATACTCCTATTTTACCAGTCAGAAAACCCTTGGGTGAATACAGGTTAGTGCAAGATTTGAGAGCGGTGAATCAAATAGTCAAGGACATATATCCTGTGGTGGCAAATCCTTATACATTGTTGACAGCGTTAAAAGAAAATTATCAGTGGTTTACAGTGCTTGATTTAAAAGATGCTTTCTTTTGTATACCTTTGGAGAAGGAAAGCAGAAAATTGTTTGCTTTTGAGTGGGAAAATCCACAGACAGGACAAAAGATGCAGCTAACATGGACAAGACTACCCCAAGGATTTAAAAATAGCCCGACAATTTTTGGAAACCAGCTGGCAAAAGAACTTGAAATTTGGAAGCAGAACCAACCAAGGCCTGGACATTTACTTTTACAGTATGTGGATGACATACTAATTGCCACAGAAGATTTACCTACATACAGGTAACAATAGATCTTTTTAAATTTCTGGCACTGAATGGGTACAAGGTAGCAAGGGGAAAAACAAACAAACAAAACACACACACACACACACATTAAAAAAAAAAACAAACAAAAAACACACAAAAAAGCACCCAAATAGCATGTCAGACTGTGATATATTTGGACTTTGAGATTTCAAAAGGGCAACGGCAATTAGGAACAGAACACTGAGAAGCCATATGAGCCGAAAAATATTCATGAACTCAGAGCATTCTTAGGAATTACAGGGTGGTGCCGCCTCTGGATCAAGAATTATGGTCTAACAGTTAAACTGCTATATGAGGCCCAAAAGAACTCTCCTTTTACATGGGGCCCAAAGCCAACAACAGGCTGTCACAGAATTGAAATGCTTTAATGTCTGCACCTGCCTTAGGACTTCCGGACATAACCAAAGACTTTCAGCTGTTAGTTCACGAAAGACAACCTGGCACTAGGTGTGCTGACTCAGAAGATGGGAAGCTGGAAACGACCTGTCAGATACTTCTCTAAACAGCTGGACACAGTGAGTAAAGGGTGGCCAAACTGCCTTCCAGCTGTGGCTGCAACAGTGATGCTCATACAGGAAGCTCAAAAATTGACTTTAGGAAGCACAATAACAGTCTATGTCCCACAGATGGTGATAACTGTTTTAGAACAAAAGGGGGGACATTGGGTATCTCTGAGCTGAATGATGAAGTACCAGGTAGTACTGGCTGAACAAGATGACGTGATTCTAAAAACAACTAACCTGGTAAATCCTGCAGTGTTTTTAAGTTCCACACAGGAAGAAGAGCAACTGGAGCAAGACTGCTTGGCTAGTATCGAGTATGTTTATTCCAGTCGAGAAGATTTGAAGGATGTAGCATTGGAGCAACCAGACTGGGAATTGTATACAGATGGTAGCAGCTTTATGGAGCAAGGAGTTTGATATGCTGGATATGCGGTAACAACAGACACCACAGTTATAGAAGCAAAGGCACTGACGAGTACCACATCAGCTCAGAAAGCAGAACTCATTGCTTTGATTTGAGCCTTAGAACTAAGTGAAAAGAAGAAAGTAAGTATTTGGACAGACTCAAAGTATGCTTTTGGGGTGGTACATGTTCATGGAGCTTTGTGGAAAGAAAAGGGTTTATTATCCTCTCAGGGATCAAATATTAAACATCAAAATGAAATTCTACAATTATTACAGGCAGTTCAAAAAACAGATCAAGTAGCAATCATGAACTGTAAAGCACACCAAATTGGAAATACAAAAGAAATTATTGGAAACAATTTGGCTGACCGAACAGCAAGGAAAATAGAAAAGGAACAAGCATTCCAAATGGAATTAATTCCCTCCAAAACAGTAACTCTTCTGAGGGAAAGGCCAAAATATTCAGTAGAAGATGAAAGATTAGGTCAATTTTTGAATGCTAAGAAAAATTTAGTGGGATGGTGGATAACTCCTCATGGACGAGTAGTAGTTCCACCTTTATTAATGAGAGAAATAATACAAACTAAACATCAAGGATGTCATTGGGGAGCAGAAGCTTTAGTAACTTCTTTACAAAAACAAGGTATATCTGTCAAGATGATAGACATGGCTAAATTAATAACTGCAAAATGTGAAGTATGTTTGAAAAAACCTGATCCAGTAACCAAGAAAAGAGTTCAAATGGGTAGATTAAAATCTGGTACAGAGCCTGGAGATTATTGGCAAGTAGAATTTTCAGAATTACTAGACAAAATGGGTACCGATACATTCTGGTGGGGTTTGATACTTTTACAGGATGGCCAGAAGCTTTTCCCTGTCACACCACACAAGCCAATGAAGTAGTAAAGTGCTTAATATGAGAAATAACTGCAAGATTTGGAGTTCCTATTGGAATTTCATCTGACAGAGGTCCACACTTTGTTGCAGAAATAGTCCAAAACGTTAGTAAAGTTTTAGGCATCACTTGGGATTTGCACACTCCATGGAGGCCACAATCCAGTGGAAAAGTAGAAAGAATGAACCAAACTTTAAAAAGACAAATAAGATCTGTCAGGAGACCAATTTAAAGTGGCCTCAAGCACTTCCATCGGCATTATTAAGAATCAGAGTACAACCAAAGAGTGGAACCTCAGTCAGTCCTTATGAGTTGCTGTATGGAAAACCTTATGAGTCCCCAGAACCAAATCCAAACATGCATGTAAAAGGAAAACAGGATGTGTCTAACTATTTGCTTTCTTTAGGAAAAACACTGACTGCGATTTGGAGTGCAGTGGTGTGGAATAGACCATTATCCTTGGAAACTCCAGTGCATGACTTTCAACCAGGAGATTATGTCTATGTGAAAACGTGGACTTCTGAACCTTTACAGGAGCATTGGAAAGGACCTTTCCAGATAATATTAACAACCTTTACGGCTATCAAGATTGCAGAATTGGATGCTTGGATACACTATACTCGAGTGAAGAAAGCACCTACCTACAGGGAAAATCATAAGCCGTGACCCAAAGACTTTGAAACATGTTTAATATTTCATATCAGTTTGTGATTGTTCTCCTTATATTGGCTTGGAAGGTGACGCTGGTGGAATCACGGGTTGATCTGGTGGCAAGGAACAGAAGGCAATCAGATACAGAACAATTAATCCAAATTCCCAAAGAAATGCCTGAGGAAAATTTGATGTTAGGATTGATTAAGGGATTCAACAACTTACAAAATGTCACCCAGATCACAGCTTGTTTACCAATTCCAAGAGCAGTAGGTGAATCTATTCCTTGGGGAATCTTGACTATGAATTTGACCTATCTAGAACACAAAAACGAGACCACTTATTGCAAACAAAAGCCAGTGATTCAATGGTACAAACAAGTGAAATTTATTAGGAAGTAATGGAAATCACCGGGAAAAAAATCAGGCTGTGAAAAACTACTAAATTATTACTTTGTAACAGGGTCTCAACCTAGTGCTTTGGCTCGAGTTCTCCTTCCAGGAGGCCCAAACCCTAATCTAGGATGGTGTTCATATGATGAACAAATTTTAAAAAATGTGAGCAGGAGCATCTATGGAATGGCAGTGTAACAAAGCACAGTGGGACTCTGTCTGTATGGTCTGTGTCCATATTCTCACGATTTCAGTACATGGCCAGAACTCCTTGGTGTTTTACTTGGGATGGTACCTGGATTAAAGGCATGTTTGCAAACATTCCCTCAATAGTAGATAAGGGCACTACCCGACTAGAAAAGGAGCATGTAGTGCCATGGTGGAAATGTGAAAAAGTATATGATTGCAGCAATGAAGACTTAATAATTCAAAGAATTCCTCAATTAGCAGCTGCTTTGAAGTTTGGTTGTTATTGTCGAGGTTTTTATAATAACCTCACCATGACTAGCATCTTTACACCCAGAAGAGGATACTTTTTTAGTTGTAAGAAATCTACCATTCAGAGTCCAGGACATTTAGTTTGGGCATTAAGTGATGGCACCTGGACAACCCACTTACCAGTAGATGGTAAGGTGAAACAAATTACTTTAGGCCTGCCAACATTGTGTCTAATTTGGAAGAAATCACCATTCAAGGGATCCCTGGAAAATTTAAAATTACAACGAATCAAAAGGTCTGAAATAGATGATGACACCTGGAATGAACCATCAACAGGAGTAAAAATTGGCTGGGCTTTAGAGTTTCTTTTGAACCCAATAGCGTCCTATAGGAATAGAGAATGGCTTTATCACTTAACAGGACAAGTAGAAAAATTGGCCAATGTTACAAGAAAAGGATTTCAAGAATTAAACATACAGTTACAGGCAACTTCCCGAATGACACTTCAAAACAGGATGGCATTAGACATGCTTCTGTTAAAAGAGCATGGAGTATGTGGATATCTC